GGGAAATAAGAGCAGATGGACTACAGAAAAAGGGACTGGAGAGGAAAGAGATACATCCATAGCTGCCTAAATCAGCCCTTAAAAACTATGATCTCACCCATGAAAGATCAGCTGAGCTCATTTCCTATGTAATTAAATATTAGTATGTAATATGTGCAGAGCAGGGGTGGGTTCTACTTACCTTTACTACCGGTTTGCAACAGGGCTGTGTGCGCATACACTCTTCTATGCATGCGTAGAAGTGTTCTGATGACGTTGGGGTCAGAGGGCGGAGCCTCCTGCCAGTTTTACTACCGGTTCTATAGAACCAGTGCAAACCGGGGACAACCCATCACTGGTGCAGAGGTATTAATTGAAACAACCCTTTTCTTGGGTAACTTATTTAAAAGGACATTGGGTTCTAGTTTTAACCTCATCCTCTCTTACTCTGTTGATCTTTGAAATTTGCCAGTGAGAAGGCACAGATCTTGTCTCTAATTCATTAGCCTACTTGAGTACAGGAAGCTCTTGATTTACGGTCACAATTGAACTCAAAGTTTCTGTTATTAAGTGAGACAGTTGTTAAGTAAGTTTTGCCTCCTAAAAACAAGTTTTAAAGACTACATGTAAAAATAGAACCAAAGGGACAGGCAGCAAGGATTTTACCCTATCAATTACCTCCATCAGTAACCCCTCCCCTTGGGGCCCAAGGCAACTAGCAAACCAGGTTTTGATACTTGTTTTCACATTTATGATTGTTGTAGCATCCCCATGGTCACATGATCAAAATTCAGATGCTTGGCAACTGACTCATCCTGATGACAGTTGCAGAGTCCCATGACCGTCTTTTGTAACCTTCTGACAAGCAAAGTCACTGGAAAAACCAGATTTATTTAACAACTGTGTTATTAATAACTACAGTAATTCACTTAACAAATGTGGCAAGAAAAGTCATAAAATGGAGCAAAACTTTGACTACAAAACTGAAAAGTGGGGAAGATAAACATCTGGCTCATCCAGTGGTTTTAGTTGAACCTTGTTTTATTATTAAACAGGACTCTCTGGGAATCATCTTTCAGTGGTACTCAGCACCCGCCTTCCAGGCTTACTGAAGTTCAACTTTACAATCACAGTTGTGTCAGCCTGCATGTCTTGAAGGAGATGTCCACATTAGGAGGCATTACTCAATACCTCTTGCTTTGTTATGGGAAAGCAACAGGACAAGGGAGGAGCCCTCTGCCCGTCCTTTTCAATCAAAGCATAAATACTTCTCTGGTCTCATCACATTGCATGATAGTCCTGCATGATGATGAGAGCTCTTATGGGATTTCTGCTCCTGCTTCTCAGCCAAGGACAGCACTGCCTTAGGTGTGGTAAGTAGGAAAAATTGGATGCGGCCATTTGAATTCCTAGTTCCTTGGGTCCTTATTCCCTTTATTTCAGGAGGTGCTCTTAGAAAACACAATACATTTTCCTCAGTACCACAAATCTGCTGTGATAACTTATGCTTCACTAGCTTCTTTATGGATGTAACCAACTTCAAAATCTTTGTTTTCCTACTGTTAGCTGCCTGTGTTCCACTTTTAAAGGGTGAGTAGTCACTACTCAGCATCAAGTTCCTTGGAAGGAAGAACATAATCTCCTTCCACGATAAAAGGGTTTATTAATACACCTATGCAGATACACAGAATTTAATAATAATAGATTTACTGTAAATGATCTTTATTTTATGTCAGATTCTTAGGGAACCCTTATTGGCACATCATTTCTTACCAAGTTTTTTATTATTTCTTCCCAATTCAGCACAAGTCTACGCACTACTATCCATACAACCAGATTCTTAGTTGGATAAGAAAAATGAGTTATCACCACTATCATTGTTCAGGTTCAGTTTCCAATGCATTATTATAGTTTTCTGGTAATAACTTGACTTATGAGTCATTGAAAAAACAACAGTGGTTCCCAATTATGCCTTTGTTAAGACAGATTGCCTCAGCGGTAATTATACTAATTTCTCCATTCAGTGCAGTGTTTTGGAAATGAATCTTCAAAAAGAATTCAGATTAATCTGTCCTCCAAAACTCATTGCTCACCTGTTCATTCACACAGCTCTGTTTTACACAACACCATTTCCTTGATCTTTTGCTGAGACTCTGCAGCAATTCAGAGAGACTCAAGTTTATCTCCATGCCCTGAAAAACTTCAATAATTTCCTACACATTGGGCGATTAAAAGTTGGATTTTTAATACAGCAATTGGATTAAGTGATTGAATTAGATTTTTCTCGTATCAATTTTGTCAGCTCCAGTTGCCTCCATCTCTATATTCACCCTCATTCTCATCTTCTTGACATTAAATCCTACACTCTTTCTGCTAGAGTACATCTAGTTGAAAGTCAGGCAAGTTTCAGCTTTAAGGGGCTCTTGGACCTCTTGTGGGTAGCAGGGAATATAATCCTGTTTCTATTTGCACGCGTGTCTTCAAGGAGCCAGAATGAGCAAATCAATTTACCAACAGAAGCAGAAACAAGAGAAAGAATGCAAAATAGTAATTGCAGTTCTAATCTACAGGGCACTGCACCTATCCTATCCTTGCTTGGATTCCAGTTTAGGGAATATCAAATATTTTCCTCATTCTTACATACAGTATTGTTACATTTCCCCCATTTCTCCAAGAGATGAGATGTGCTACTGATACAATGTTTTTTCACAAGTACAATAGATATGTCAACTATTAATAAAATAATTGTATTAATTCCATTTGTCTTCATTCATAACACTCAAGAAACTTTAGCTATGCAATCCTATAGTAAGCCTCTTCTGATGCAGAACAATCCATAAAAGCCTAAGACTTCATGAGTAAAAGGAATGATAATGGTTTGCTCAAGACTACACATCATTTCTTGATTGGGATTCCCTGTGCACAGTCACTGACGCCCTCGTCACCTCTCGCCTTGACTACTGCAATGCTCTCTACATGGGGCTCCCTTTGAAGAGCACCCGGAGGCTCCAACTGGTCCAGAATGCAGCAGCGCGGGTAGTGACGGGAGCAGCATGGCGCTCCCATGTAACACCGCTCCTGCGCGAGCTGCACTGGCTCCCGGTGGTCTTCCGTGTGCGCTTCAAGGTGTTGGTCATCACCTTTAAAGCACTCCATGGCATAGGGCCTAGCTATCTTCGAGACCGCCTGCTGCTACCGACGACCTCCCATCGACCCGTGCGCTCCCACAGAGAGGGCCTCCTCTGGGTGCCATCAGCCAAACAATGTAGGCTGGTGACCCCCAGGGGGAGGGCTTTCTCTGTGGGGGCACCTACCCTCTGGAATCAGTTGCCCCCAGAGATAAGGAGAATCCAAGACCTCAGTGCCTTCCGCCGTGCCCTTAAAACCCACTTTTTCCAGCAAGCCGGGCTGGCTTAAGAAGAAATTTTTAAATGTTTTAATTGGTTTGTGATTTTTAATTTTTGGGCCAAATTTATATATATTTTAATTGTTTTTTAATATTTGTATTTCATGTTCTTAATTCTGGATGTACACCGCCCTGAGTCCTCAGGGAGAAGGGCGGTATATAAATTGGAAATAAATAAATAAATATAAATTGGAAATAAATAAATTTGTGGCTGCAATAAAGGTAATATTAGATGTTCACAGCTCCTTCTTATCATCAAATTAATTTAGTTTCTTATACTTTGCATTTGTTGGATAATTTTTTAAAAAATTAATGTATTTGTATCCTGCCATTGTGGTCCAGTGGTTAGAATGTAGTATTGAAGGCTAACTCTGCTCACTGCCAGGAATTGGATCCTGACTGGTTCAAGGTTGACTCAGCTTTCCATCCTTCTTAGGTTGGTAAAATGAGGACCCAGATAGTTGGGAGCAATATGCTGACTCTGTAAAACACTTAGAGATGGCTCTAAAGCATTATGGGGTGATATATAAGTGGTATTGCTTCTTGCTATTTATTATTTTTCCAAATAACTCAAGGCAACGAACATAACCAATGTAACTTCCTCCTATTTTCCCCACAACAAAAACCTTGTGAGGTAGGTTGGGCTAAGAGAGAGTGACTAATCAGCCTAAAGTCACCCAACTGGCTTTCATTGTTAAGGTATGAGATTTGAAAAATAAAGTAAAACATACTCAGTATTAGAATCTAAACAATAGCAGCAGAATTACACTAACTGTAAATACATGCACAGTGTCGGTCTCTCATTTAGTAATCAGAGGAATTGCCCCCAAAGCTCCATTTAAGCTTTGACACTTAAGGAAAAGCTTTTGATCCTCCAGAGAAGTAAGCTCAAGAAGAGCAGGATGCATTCCTGCAATTTGGGCCGGCCTTGATCACTCATTTCTGAAGAGCTTCTAGTATCTGCATGACATTGCTATGATAATTATTGCCAAATTGTGTTTTTCCACATGGTTCTACACTAGCATTTAAAAAAAAAAAATTGAACAGCCTTATTTCTGAATGTAGGATCATTTATAGCAATAGTATGCTTTTAAGAGGCACGGTTTTGGCATATACAGTGACATATGGGTGGTAGCGAAAGGCCTAAGGGAAGCTCTGTTGCCATCTTCTATTTCTCTAGAATAGCCTAGCAATGCCCTTTCTTTAGCCTTTTTAAGCATGGACCCTGGAGGAAGATACAGTGCTATTTTTCCTGGGCAAGAAAGGTTGGAAGGGCACAACTTTCTCAACACAATTTCTCTTCCGTGAAATTTATCTTATCCTAGCCACTAACCTACGTGACTCAACGAATGCTTGGGTAGCAAGTGGCTGTTCTCTCACAGATGGCATGCAACATCTTGCCAAGGTACATAAGTAGCATTCCTCCTGCTAATACGCAACCCACCGATTTTCCTGAAAGGATTTGTTCTTTGGCATCACCTTGCCAGACTTGTTCAGACCCAGTGTTGGGGAAACTGAGATAAGCAAAGGAAAGTCAACAGTGCTAGAAATGAAGTGACTATTCGAAGGTGAAAGGTTGTTAGGGAGGATCCAAAGCTGTCCCAGCAGTTTATATAAAGGAAGACGAGCAAATTTTCACCCTTGACTTCCAATATTCTGCCACATCAAGGAAGATTTGGTTTAAGAAAGGATATACCCACATCTGAGCCCAAAATGTTTCTCTTCACTACTGTAATGTGTGTGTTCTACACAGTCACTAATGCAGCTTCCAGTTCTTCAGGAACGTGCTGTAAGTATTTCAAGTTAATTTTCCTCTTGCATTAGCCCTTCTTAATCTGATGCTTCTCCCTAACTTGATTAATAACTTGAATGAAGGATATGGGAGTCAGTCAATAACTTGACTGAAGGAGTTATAGTCCAACACATTTGGAGATCTTCAAATAGGTTGGTCACGGTGATCAGGTAGGGGCAGGATTTACTCTACATTTAAATGGCAATAGGTCTCTTACACAGTCGAAAGCCCATCTTTGCAGCTATATCCTTTCCAAGGATCATGTAACTGTTTCAAAGGCTATCGCTGGGAGTCTCCATATGCTCGCGTAGTCACATTACTTCACTGACAGCCTCAGCTTTGCCAAGGACACGAATGCTTTAACAATTCAAAAGGAAGTGGTTCATTTGCACTAATGTACTGTGCAAAATGTCTCTTTGCACAACCCTAGATAATGTATGTAAACATTTCAAATGTTTGTGCACTGAATGAAAAATTCATGCATAGAGGGTGTTTAGGCAGGATCAACTTTCCTTCATGAAATAGTTTTGTACAGAAAGGTAACTAAAATGTGAATTTGAGCCTTGTCCATGACTGCCAGTTTCTATTCTCCATACATCATTAATGATGAAACCGAAAAACTGTGCCCTACCTAAATCTTCTCATGTTTAATAAAAGCAAGACATGGCTAGGAAGTCTTCTCTCATATGATCCCCACCCGATTGAACTGCAGATTCCAAGCCAGCATGCACATTAGCTTTCTGAATACACAAATAGTTTTCAATGCAGATTTAAATAATCACTTACTGTACGTAAAAATATTAAGTAGTATATTGCAGAAACTGGTTTATCTCCTTATGTGCTGTTGATATGAATGTAATAAAACCAGTGGAACCTTCCCTAACCTAGTAGCCTTCCAAATGTATGTGTTCGTCTGATATGCACACCAATGAGTGTCGATGGGATAATTTTCAACAAAATTATCAAAGAATATAAGAAATGACTGAAGGAACTTGAGGAAGCAGCTGTTTAGAGATAATGACCAGCAGCCTATTTAAATCCCCCCCATCCGCAGATCCATTACTTTTGCTATCTGCCTGTTTTCATTGATCACAGTGAGTCAGTAGAAGACACAGAAAATAGGAAAGGAGCCCATCAGAAGACAACATGCAAAAACTCAAAACATAGTGCTAAGTGTCTCATTGAGCAAAAATGCTTCATGTGTATAGAACTGGATTAATATTAACTTAATATTAACTCAAGTTAGCTTACTTGATCTATATTCCTACTGAAAATAATGGCACTTAAAGTTGCATGTATCTTCTTCCATTGATTTCAATAAGTCAGTTCAGCTTAAAAAGAGCAAGACGGGGTAAGTTTGATTGAGTTAACTAACAAAACCTTGCATGAGGATATGTGGCACGGCAATTTTGGCTAGCATCCAATCCCTTGGTTGGAGTTTAGCAAAATATCCACATTCATAGCTGAAGGTGAGGCTCAGACAATTGTAAATAGCCTCTATCAAAAAAAAAAAAAAAAAAAAAGACAGAGAGATACAAAAGTGCAAAAAACTAAAATGTAAACTGAACACGGCTTTTTTTTTTTTCACTGTCTGTGATAAAGTTCACGTGCAACATTTTTGCCCAAAAGCAGATAAATTCACATAGGTCTGGATACCTCTATGAATAACAGATCTGCTGCATGAATATTAACAACTCAGCTGTATGGATCATGCATGATATATGCAAAGTATTTGAAGTTATCCTTATAATTACAGAACTCGCTGGTGAGCAAAAAATTTTGGTGGGCAAAAAAAGGAGCCCCAAATCCTACCAATGCAGAAGAAAAATATGATAGAGACGATTTCTGAGGCTGAACTCTACTACATCAGACAAGCTACATCAGAGTTCTCAAGGAAGAGGTGCTGTTCTTGGTAAACCTCTGGTTTCTTTGTTCTAGATGTCCCGAGTGATCGGCAATGGTTGGTTAAAGGCCTCCAGACTCAACTGGAAAACTCTGCAGCCTGCCCGCAGAATAAACCTGATCCCAGTGTCCTGATTGCTTTGAACCTGGCTGAAGACCACAATCTTAGTGTGCTAACACAGTTGGTGAGGCAGATCAAAGAAACAGCTGGAACAGGTATGAGGTCGAAATGAGAAGTTTTTAATAAATGAGTTTATTGATTTCTATAATCACTTCTGAACCAGTTCATATCTTTAATTTGTACCATTTTGTAAAGAGGGAAACATGGAAATAGTTTTTCATGTGTCACTTTTGAAGACTGGGTAACTCGCTAAGCTGAACCAATAATGAAAAAACCCACAAAGCTTTATGATTTCTTTTGTTTTTACTAATACCTCCTAGGTTTGACTATGATGTACCTCCCAAACTTAATTAAAACTTAGTAAGTCCAATTCTGTTTCTAGAATTGCCACTTTTTCTTTATAATATAATAGGTAGAACACTACAGGTAGTCCTCAAGTTACCACAGGTCATTTAGCGATGGATCAAAGTTATGACACCAGCCCCCAAAGTACTTATGATATAGTCTCAAAGTTACAAATATTTTATTTTTATTTTTATTTATTTTATTTATTTTTGTCAAGCATATATAAGATTACAGATAAAAATATAAACATGATTATGAATACATGAAATGTATAAACATGATTATGAATACATGAAATGGATACGAATAAATGGGGACATTATGACAGGGACAGTAGTCATGCTGGTGTGCTTATGCACGCCCCTTACAGACCTCTTAGGAATAGGGTGAGGTCAACAGTAGACAGTCTAAAGTTAAAGTTATGGGGGTTTGAGGAAGTAACCACAGAGTCAGATAGTGCATTCCAGGCATTGACCACTCTGTTGCTATAAAGTCATATTTTCTGCAATCGAGTTTGGAGCGGTTTACCTTAAGTTTGTATCTATTCAGAGGTGGGTTTCAGCAGGTTCTGACCAGTTCTGGAGAACTGGTAGCAGAAATTTTGAGTAGTTTGGAGAACCAGTAAATAACACCTCTGAATGGCCCCACCCCCATCTATTATCTGCCTCCTGAGTGCCAGCTGATCAGGAGGAAATGGGGATTTTGCAGTATCCTTCCCCTGGAGTGGGGTGGGAATGGAGATTTTAATACAGTATCCTGCCACACCCACCAAGCCACACCCACAGAACCGGTAGTAAAAATTTTTAAAACCCACCACTGTATCTATTGTGTGCTTGTGTATTGTTGTGGTTGAAGCTGAAGTAGTCATTGACAGGTAGGACATTGTAGCAGATAATTTTATGTACTATGCTTAGGTCAGACAGATCGCGGCATAGTTCTAAGTTATCTAAGCCCAAAATTTCAAGTCTGGTGGCATAAGGTATTGTGTTGTGAGCAGAGGAGTGAAGGACTCTTCTCGTGAAATATCTCTGGACTCTCTCAGTTGCAGCACCACGGCAAGCATTCACCCTTACAACAGACCCCGCCCCACAGGGACCTAACAGGCATTGGATCTGCTATGCTAGCCCACTGGCTCCTCCCCATTCTATCACCAATCACTCATTTACCTTTCGAAGATCTGCAGAGTCAGTACTCAGGATCATGTGGCAGAAAAGCGATCAACTTCTCAGAAAATGGTGAAGATGTTTTCATTAGATCCTGTGTTCTTACACATCCTTCTGTCCCCTTTGCAAAACAGATGACAGAGGCCTGCAGGAACGCGAGATCAAGCCCCCAAAGGCTTGTGTCCCCTTTGCCAAAGGCTTTTGGCGTGGGGAACGGAAGCCTGCAGGGGCGCTTCTGTTTTCCATGCCAAAGTTTTTGCAAAGGGGATGGAAGCCTTCAGTGGCACAATCTTACACTCCTTCAAGTCTCTGTCCCCTTTGCAAAAGCTTTTGGTTCAGAGGACGAAAGCCTGAAGGAGCACAAGATCACACTTCTTCAGACTCACCAAGGCTGCCCGATGCCCCAAAAGTGGATCTGGTGTCCTGCACATGCAGCCTTGGTGAGTCAGCCAAACTGAGCAGAGTGCATTAGTCCCGCTCTGCCTCTGCAAAGAAACGGCACTGCTGTGCAAATCCCACAACAGAGATGCTGGAGAGGAGACAGACAGCTCATTTGATGAGTGAGAAGGAGCAGTCAATCTGTTCTGAAACTCTGGACATCTTTGAAAGATAAATGAGTCTCCACAGGTCCAGTGCCTGTGGAGACCCGGTGGGGAGGATGGGTGGGGGAAGCAACTAGGGGGATCCCAGGGGATTGTAAGCGGAGCATGACATATTTCAGTGGATGGGAGGAAGCCTTGGGTGATCGGAAGCAGGTCCTCCATGGTCTTCCCCACCCTGAAATACCTCATGCGCACTTAACAACCTGTGCATTTGATTAACAAATGCATTGGGAAAAGCAGGGAGGGATCGCATTCATTTAATGTGATTCAATTAACAAATCCTCAGATTGTGAATGTAATTGGCAGGCTCTATTACATTCGTACCTCAAGGATTACCTGTACTAGGCAAAGTTTTCATTATGATCATATGTCCATACTTGGCAAACTTGGCTAAATGTTTCCCTGTTACTGTTTGACACAAGGAACCAGAACAATTTCATGAATAGGCCAAAACAGTTTTTTTTTAAAAAAATTGTTGATCACCTATATTACAAGAATCTCATCCATAAGCCTTCACAAGTCTGATTTCAGTTACTGTGTATCTCCAGTTTTAAAGCAGCTCTCCCAGATGTTTTGGGCTGCAGTCTAGACTTCCAGCCAGAACGGGAAAGGGTTCTTTATTGCTTTCGAAGCATTGCTTACTCGGTCTTTGTCCTCTCTTATCCCTTCCTGCAGAGATGACCTCTGGCAAAGTGGCCCTTTATGTCCTAGCTCTTCGGTCCGCCTGTCAGAATCCTGCTGATGTCAGGACGCCAGAAAAACATGTCAACCTGGTCCAAGTCCTTGAGGAGAAAACAAAGGAAGAGATTAAGTATATCAGTAAGGAGACAAATGGGCATTAGATTCCTACCTTTCTCTCAAATAACAAGATACAAAAGGGATGATGAATGCATGGCTTCTTGACTCTCTGTGCTCTTCCCCCACCATTGCCTTCAAGGATGGTATTCAGTTGAACTGAAATGCCCAATTGATAGTCTATTAGAATTGCTCTCTTAGCCATGTTGGCAGTGCCTGTTCTTTGTCTCAGTTGCAAGTAGCATTTTCTTTTTTACATTTGAAAGACTGGTACAACTTAAAATGTTTGTACAACTTTTCCACAGATAACTCAAATCCCTTTTCTCCCTATTTCACAATGCAGATGACAGCCAAATCAATCTGCTGTTGGAATACAGATCCTGCTGTGAATTCTGAGCCCATATTTTGCGCTTTGCAATATTTTCCTATTTTTTTAAAGGAAGAAAATGCACTTTTATAACAGCTGCAAAATTGATCCAGCCTGGTAATGATAATTGAGGATGGATTTGTAACATGCATTTATTTATTCAAAACTTTTACCTAGCTACCCATCATAAACCAAATTCTCAGCAGCTGTCCACAAAAACAAATCTTTATCTACCGACAATAAAAACATTAAAACCAAAAGACCTGATACTATAGCTAAACTTTCCCATGCAGCACATTGCATTTTCTGCCAATCAACACTGTACATAAAAATGAATGAAAACAGCAAAATCTTTGCAAGATCTCTGAAAGGTGATGTTGCACTGATGAAATTGTGGGGAAGATTTGTCTTAGTTCAGGCAATTCTGTGCTAGAAAGAGTAGAATTCATAAAGTACACAATCTAGTTTAGCAATCTGACATTTATCTCATCTATCCTGAATTTCCAACAGTCAGTACAAGTAGTCCTTGATTTATGACCATAATTGGAACCAGAATTTCCATTGTTAAGCAAGATGCTTGCTAAGTGAGTCATGTCTGATTTCATAACCTTTTTTTTTGCCATGGCTCTTAAATAAACCACTGCAGTTGTTAAGTGAATCATGTAGACATTATGCAGATCTGATTTCCCCTATTGACTTTGCTTGTCAAAAGCTGGCTGGGAAGATTGCAAATAGCAATCACTTGACCCCAGGACACTGCCACTGTTGTAAATACGGTACATATTGGTGGCCAAGGCCCTGAATTTTGATCACATGACTATGTAGACCCTGTGACAGCCATAAATGTGAGGACCAGTCATCACTTTATTCAGTAGCATTGTAACTTTGAACAGTTGCCAAACAAATGATTTTAAGTTAAAGACTGTCCATATTGAGGGGTAGGGTAGTATTATAAATTATGCCTAGGAGAGGTTTATAGCCCTTTTGATATATTCTCTCTATAGCATTATAAACTCTCATGTAGCAGGAGAATGGGACTTCATTTTCTGCCCCTTCTCATCATTTCCCCAGTATTTAAACCTAACTTGCCTTCCAAATTAGAGGGGGAAATCTGCAGCTACAAACCCAATCATTTCCCATACACTAACTATGTGGACATCTTCCAGATGAGTAGACTTCAATTTTGATGCTATCTGGGGAATTCTGAAATTGATTTCTACAGATCTGGAAAATGCTAGTTGATAAAAGGTTATTTTTCGTGATTTAGAATCCTGCACCATTATGGTTATCAATTCCATGGGGATACCAGGGAAGTATAGCTAGTTTCTGATTTCAGATCTCTCCTTCTCCAATAGTACTGTTTTAAATTAGTTTTCCATTTCTGCCTCGTTTTGAACTCAACCTCCAAACAGTAACAGGCTGAAAGTAGATGTCTTCTGTGACCACACAGGAAGTAACTGATAAAAATGCTTACTTTTCAGATACCACTGGGACTCCCAAGACAACCTACTACCAATTGGCTCTAGATACTTTGGCTCTGTGTGTAGAAAAAAGTCCAGAATTAGAAATTACTGCCACCATCTTGGCCAAGGCCGCCCTGAATAATAGTTTCAAATTCGATGGTCGTTTCTCTGTAGGTAAGAAAATGCTTCACAGAGACACAAACACATATATGATTTTGAATATGATTTTAAATTACCTTTTTATTCTGAGCTTCCACATACCTCAGGATAGCTCTTTCAGTGTTACCCTGCAATGATCCTGGCAAACAGGCCAAACTGGGAGATGGTGAGTGGGACATTGGGGAACTTCATGGTGAGAAAATGATTGATAAGCTAGAAATCTATTAACCATTACACCAAGGGTCTTCAACCCCCAGGCCACGGACTGGTACCAGTTGCAAATGAGCAAAACCTAAACCATCTCCCTCCTCTCCCTCAATTTGTGGAAAAACTTGTCTTTGTCTTCCACAAAATTAGTCCTTGGTGCCAAAAACTTGGGGGGGCACTGCATTACACTATCCACAATGACAACTTGTAATAAACAGCCTTTTCCAATTTGGCCTGCTTCTCTCAGATATCTTCTATTATCCAGTATTTAAACCAAAGAGATCCACGACTCTTCCTAGATTGGCAAATACTCCTGACTTTCTCCTCGCTGCTCCATCCCTTGTTTGATGTAATTCACAGATACTGGTGCCGTAGCAAGTCTAGCACTATTCTGTGTGTATGAAGGAAGGATCTTGTCTCAGCAGAGCAAAATTACAGGAACTATACAAGCAGCCTTAACCCTCATCACAGAGCAGATCCTTAATGAACAACAGACTAATGGCCTCCTTGGAAATATCTATAGCACTGGCCTTGCAATGCAGGTACATCTGACCTTTTATTTGGGGAGGATGAAAATCCAGCTATCTGGTCTTTATCCCTTTGAATCTTACTGAGCATCTCTCTCTCTCTCTCTCTCCTCTCTCTCTCACTCACTCGCTAATTTCCAGGCTCTCAATGTTACTTCTGAGTTCTATTCTCCTAATGCATGGAACTGTCCTAAGACCTTGAATGAAGTGCTGAGTAAGATCATCGAGGGAGCCTTTAGCACTCCAGCTGCTGCTTCTCAGATCCTGCCTTCTCTGGTGGGCAAGACGTATTTGGATGTGAGGGGTCTCATTTGCAGCTCCGAAACTGGTAAGGCAGCTTCTTCAGTGGAAAGAAACTACTCTGGCACCTCCTGTGTTCTCTGAAGAAGAAAAAACTGCAGATTTGGCTAGTGAGATAGAGTCATGAATTCTGTATTATAGGTCCACGTTCCCCATCACTACATTTCCACACCAAGAATAGGTACAGTTTTAATGTTATTGATTATCTTGGAGACACTGGAATTATTCTGGAAGAAAGGAAATGATGGAGGTTGGAGATGAAAATAAGGGAACATAGTCATGCCATTTAGAGTCTAATAACATTTGGAATAATCACATAATCCACAAAGTAATGCTATCAAAGTTATACTATATTCACATAGCATGATTCTAATTTTCACTTAATTCTGGAACCCCCCCCCCCAAAAAAGATGTTGTGGGGCTGAGGATTACGTATTGTGGCATGATCTGCTTAATTCACTTTTATGGATCTGCAACTTCTACTGAATGGATCATCCATAATGACGAAAATCAATTGCAGCTGCTAGCAATAGTAATATTTTAAGCATCTTCAAATGGATGCCAATCTGTGCTTCCAAGTCTCAACTCATATCACTGGCTGTCCCTCTTCTCAACTGTGCAAGCCCAAGATTGGCATTATATGCTAAGGGTGTAATGAGTTATTTTGCCCGCCTTCTCTTCTCTTTCTTTGCAGAAACAGTGCATTATACTGTAATCAATAATCTAGTAGGACCTCACTTCAAGTATTCCACAACTGTGAAAGTGCCAAAGGGTTCTGTTCTGCTTGTTGTCTTGGAAGCAGCTCAACAACTTAATGCAAAAGAATTCAGGTAAATAGTCTCCTAGCAGATTCATTTTAGATTCTGTATGTGTCATTTTAAGGGAGGCATTCAACCCAGGATGTGAACTACTGACCTACTGGCAGTTCCTCAGTGAACTTTTCACATTTTTAATTCAAGAAACCTCAAACCTTTATCAATGTAGTTTAATCTGCCTTTGGGCTGGAGGCTGGATAAATCTGAATATTTGATTTCTGTGAATGATTTTCACCTATAACATTCCTGACCTTTTCCTTTTTTTCTTTTGTGTATATTAAATACCCCTTAAATTACTTCCTCCTTTCTGCTTTTGTAATGAGTTTGGCATCTTGCAGCTTTCAAACAGAGGAGACATCTTGGGGCCCCATGGTCACCTCTATCAATGGCCTCAAAGGCAGCACCAATGAAAAGACCTACTGGCAGTTCCTCAGTGGCAAAACACCCCTTGAACAAGGTACATTTTCTTGGGAAGAAGGAAAGTGCTGAAAGATACAACATAGTTCCTTCAGATACTTGTAGCCTTTATCACACATCTTAATTATGATTAACTTGCTAGTAAATATGCAGCTACTGTATAGGATAATAATAATCTACAAGACCAAAATAATAGGTTGATGCCTGTTCAAATGGCAAAGTCTTCAAGTCGAGCTCAACTCCTCATGAATTCATAGATATATCTAGGTAGTTTTCTCAGTGCAACACGGAAATTATGTGTCTTTGCCTTCTCCTGGAATAAGCTTTCAACTTCCCAGTCTACTTTACAGTGCTGGCATGTCCTAGAAATATCCTATCCAGAGACTAATCAGCTTTGATTCTACTTAGCTTTTGACCCCAGACATGCTTCAATGCACTTGGAAATGTGAATATAGTATTTGCTTTCTACTCTTTAAAGCAGCTATATCTTTTGGGAGATTACATGGCAGCTGCATCTTAGGCATGCTTTGAGTGGGGCACAGGGCAAATGAAAAAGTGTGCTTCATGGCTCAAATCCTACAATTTATGCATTTGCATCTAGTATCAGGATGCAACTATAAAAGTATGATGCTGTAGTGTGATATTACTGTATGCATATTATTTTTCGTAAGGCTGTAACCAGCAAGGCAGCTGAGTATCTTCATATATCTAATCTAAAACTAGTTTTAAACATCTGCACATATTAAGGCTTATAATAGATCTAATGTAGAGTATGCTGTAGTTTTTCAACATCATTTTTTTTTATGTTGGCAGGTGTTGGCAGCTACAAACCAAGAGATAATGAGCTAATTGTGGCCATCTTCAGTAGATACTGAACTATTACCTATAATAAAGAACTGAGGTTCAAGTCTGTATTTATCAGATGATAAACTTCTATTTTGGAAAAAAAAAGCCTGCAATTTTTTAATCAGATGTTGCTGTGTACACTGAGAGTATATGCACTAAAGACAAATTCCGTGTGTGTCCAATCACACTTGGCCAATAAAGAATTCTATCTATCTATCTATCTATCTATCTATCTATCTATCTATCTATCTGTTGCTATGTATTTATTCAGCATAGGGAAAGAAAAGATAGGCATACAAAATGCAGTTAAATAAATAGAACCCAAAGGCTAGCTGAAACTATTGAAATAAAAAGGCAGTTAAGTAATACTAACAAAGGCTGACTTACATATATGATTACATATTTAAACAATATGAATATAATTGAAATACAAATACATCTTACTGAATAAATACATAGATTCATAATAAATGAATAGATCTTACCGAAAAGGGAAATATTTTTTTCCCTCTAGTTAACTTGCTGCTGACAAACATATGTCTTTTCTTTTAACTCTGGTCTTTAAATGCACCCTGTCTTTTGTAACAGCTGTTCAAAGAGAAAATTGCCCTCTAAAGGGAGAGACCCAACACTTTAAACATTGATTTATTTAGCCAGTTTGATGTTGTTCCATCTCAAAAGAGATTTACAATGTACCAAAAACAACATCAACCTTAAACTAACAGAAAAAAAGTGAATTACAAAAATAGCCCTGAGGTAACCCACAACTATTCACCAGAATTTGTTTTAATATAATTGGTAATATTCCAATGTTTATACATCTTGAGGTTGCCATTAAATGCTGCTGGCTTTAAAGGAGAAAACATACTTTTATATTGGTGCCACTAAGGACAACTTAACCGATCTTGTGCACGGGCTGAGAAAAAGATGAAAGCAAAAGTCTTTTTGTTTAACAAGATATGTCCTTGACTTATTACCATAATTGAGCCCAAAATTTCTATTGCTAAGCAAACCACTTGTTTTTATCTGAGCATTTTATTTAATCATGTCCTGACAGCATCGCTACAAGTCAATACTTTTGAAAGCAAAATTTTATGAAGCCACAGTGGAGATGAACCCTCAAAGGAGATATCTAAAACTTTGTTGGCGGAAGAATCAATGTGAATCTGACTGGACATAAATAAGAGTATTTTAGGAATTAATAAAGATAAGAGTGGCAACTCTCAATGATTTTCTGCTCTTATTGTATTTACTGATAGCTATTCAGTGGCCCTATTTAGGATGACCTATTTTCTATTGGGTGGAGGGCCCAGCAGAACATCTGGTGGACCATTGTGAAGATTATTCAGGCTACCTGGTGTTTGTATTTATTTATTTGTCAAACATGTATGAGATAATAGGTATAAGTATAAACATGGATATGAACACAGGAAATGAGTACAAATAAATGGGGACAGTAGGACAGGGACAGTAGGCACGCTGGTGCGCTTATGCACGCCCCCTTTAGGGACCTCTTAGGAATGGGGTAAGGTCCATGGTAGACAGTTTAAGGTTGAAGAATCCAACAGTCTTCCTATTGGATCCAACAGTCATACCTATCATCCTTTCCTTTCGGATGTGCAGATGATGAAAACTGGAGGAAATAGATTATCTTGACTCATCTCAGTCAGGTTTCAGGCTGAGATTTAATATTGACACAAATTTGATGATCTGCTGGCAGAGCCAGGATGGTGGTGATGGTGCATCCAACCTGTTGTGGTCTGCCAGCAGCCTGCGGACCTGGCAGCGGAGTCAGACAGTGAGGAGGCTGGGGAGGACAATGGGCCAGTCCTAGAGTCAGGGGAAGGCCCGGATGAGAGCTCTGCATCGGAAGCAGAGATGGGGCCAGGGCCATCTGGGAGCGATGCACGGACTCCAGAACCTCCAGAGGCGGACAGCAGAGAAGCAGGGGAACAGAAGGAGCCTGTTCCTAGTGCACACATGCAAAGAGCTGCCAGAAGGCAAGAGCAGCTGAAGCAAGAAGGACGACTCAGGAGTAAGGCCAGAAGATGATTGGCCACTCCCATAAGGCATAAAAGAGCAGCAATGAGCTGTTGGGTTCTTTGTAGAAAAGCAACATTGATTCCAGTGCTTCTTATCAATGTCTCTTTAACATTGTGGGGGTTTTGCCAAGAAAAGCCTTTGGCACGTTGCCAAAGACATCAAAGGTTGGTGATAAGGCCGAAGAATTTGTTTTGGACTAAAATTGAGAATGAATTATTTCTCAGTTGTTTTAATAAAATAAGTTTGTTCAGGACTGAATTGTGTTTGGTAATCACTACGTGGGCCTCGGTCACAACACAACTTTGTGCTCCTTAATCTCTCAATGGCTTCCAGTATCATTGACCATGGTATCCTTCTGAGTTGGATCTGTGAGTTGCGGATTGGGGGCACTATTTTATTTTGGCTCTCTTCCTTTCTCTGGGGCTGGTTCAGTAGGTGCTGGTTGGAGAGATTGTCCCCTAGTTCCTCACTTGTGGGGTGCCACAGGTTCTTTTATCTCTCTCCTCCTTTTCAACATTCACATGAAATTGCTGACAGTGGTGGGTTTCTCCCGGTTCCGCCCAGTTCCGCAGAGCTGGTAGCGGTGACGATATGACATCACCGAACCAGTTCTGGCCTGCCCCCCCACCCCCCCACATTATTCTTACCTTTTATTTGGCCCCATCCCCAATCTATTGCTGCCTCCTGAGTCCCAGCTGATGGCTAGAGGGAAAAAAAACTGTTTAAACTCTTGCAGCGGGGCTTCAAAGGGCCGCCCTACAGCTGATCAGTGTTATAAGAAAACAAATGAGTAGATTGGTGCCTGCAAAAATACATGAGTAGATCAGTGCCTGCAAAAATAAATGGGTAGACCGGTACAGCTCTGCAAGCAGTTAAAAGCCTGGTAGACCTCTGCTAAATCCTAAATAATTGTCACGCCCACGCCCACAAAATAAGCCATGCCCACAGAACCGGTAGTAAAAAATTTTAGAACCCACACCTGATTGCTGAGTGAGCTCATCTGCCACTTTGGGGCTCACTATCATCAATACTATATATACTGACAATACTCAATTATATCTTTCAACTCCAGGCCAGCCAAGTAAGGCTATCACAGTTCTATCCCAGTGTATGGAGACTGCAGGTTTGGATGAAGACAAACAATCTTCAACTTAATTCTGCCAAGATGGAGTGGCTGTGGGTGGACCACCCAGATCTGGAGATGTTCCAAGTTTGATCTTGGATGGAGTTGCACTTCCCCATTCAACAATAGTGTGCAATTAGGTGGCCGCTGTGGACTCATAGCTCTTGCTCAATGAGCAGGAGGCAGCTAAGACTAGGACAGCTTTTCTCCAGCTTCAACTGGTACATCAGTTTCACCCTTTCCTATATTGGAAGCCCTCCAGGCAAATATTCATGCTATAATCACCTCATGGCTAGACTACTGCAATGCGTTTTACATATGGCTGCCCTTAAGACTACCCAGAAGGTTCGGCTGGTCCAGAATTCAGCAGTGTCGACAATGATGGGCATGCCTAAGTTAGTATGCTCATGTAATATTTCTGCTTTGCAAGCTTCACTGATTGCTTGTTTGCTTCTGGGAATGACTCACAGTGCTAGTGGCTACCTATAAAGGCCTACATAGCATAAGGCCTGATTACCTGAGGTACTGCCTATTTTCTATAGTATCTGGCCAGTCAGTTTGAATTGGCAGGGTTGATGTGTTCCAGATTCCATTGATTAAGCAATGCCATCTGTTTAACCCTGCAATTGTGCTTTCCATGTAGCAGCAGCTATCTTCTGGAATGAGGTTCCCTCCAATTTTGAACAGCTCCTATCCTACTGGTATTTTGAAGAGCTTTAAAAACCTGGCTCTTTGCCCAGGTCTTTGGAGAGAACAGCTTTCTTCCTTTCTTCCTTTCTGTTCCCTTCTGGTTTTCTTTCCCATTGTTGTCCTTTAGTCTTGTGTGTTTTTGCATTTTTTGTATCATTTTTAAATGTTTTGTTTTAAAATGTAAATCACTCAGAATTGCTGGGAATCAGTATATAAATTTAACCAATTATTATGGTTTGCCGCACAACCAGCCAGATATTTAGGCTGGATTTGGCATTTTTATCAACCTATTGAGTTCTTCCCAAGGACCTAGGAAAGGCAGATGTGTGATGACATTGAAGGTATTGTAGAGTGTAAGCTATTCCGAGTAAAATCTCCTTGCACTATGACTGCATAACTGTAACTTTGTTGCTTGTATCCTTACGATTTATATTGATATTGTTTCCTGATTGCTTATTTGTACCCTATGATTATCATTAAGTGTTGTACCTTATGATTCTTGACGAATGTATCTTGTCCTTTTATGTACACTGAGAGCATATGCACCAAAGACAAATTCCTTGTGTGTCCAATCACACTTTGCCAAGAATCCTATCCTATTCTATTCTAAAACTGTTGTTTGCAACTGACTGGTGGTGATTTTATCAATACTGATGGTGTTCAAGTGGTGCTTCAGTTGTTTTGGTATTCCAGCCAAGGTGTCTATTACTATTGGTACTATCTTCACTTTCTTTGCAAGTCTTTTGTATTTTATGATTTTCTCCAGTTCATTCTCTTCTAGTTTGCTGCCTACAGGTACTGCCACTTCCACCATCCATATCATTTTGTCTTTCCTATTGTCTTATTATAAATATTAAAAACTACTATGGTGGGGCTTTGCTTCAATATTTTTGTTCAAAAGGGGGAAATTTGTCCCTGCAACAATAGACGTTTTTAATGCAAAGATTGAACCTCAAATTTTATATGGAGCTCCAATCTGAATCACAGTTGTCAAGAATAACATAGCCCAATTGCAGAAGTTGTTTTAATATCTCCTTTAAAAGTTCTAAGTATTGTTCCAAGCTCTTGTTTCCCTGGAAACTATACAATGTCCTTTGAAGAAACACTTCAGTGATCGGTTGCTCCCAGTTCGGTCCGGTTCTATAGAATCGGTAGTAAAACCGGCGGGAGGCTCCACCCACCTGCCACAACATCATGGGTGATCTGCGCA